AATTTCACTGTACGCTTACTTAATCCTGCAAAAGCTTCAGTAGACTATTTACCAGGAAATAATGAGTGGGGAAGCTTCAGCCCTTCACCGGTACCGGGATGCCCGATAAAGCGAGGATGTTAGTGAAATATTAGCTATCCTCGCCAGGTCTATAATTTAGCATCACCCACCATATTTAAAGATTATTAGGCTCTATCTCAACATGCGATTGCATCCCTTAAGACTAAGCATAGGAGGTGGCAGGAGCACCGGGGAGAATGAAAAAGGGTTCATGCACCTTAGCGTTTCTTTCCCCCGTGTAAGGTTCAACCCTGCTTTCAACGAAAAAGACATTTTTACGCAGTCTCAAACGCACTGCCCCGTATATTGCGATAGCGCCCAGGGGTTATTGATGCACTTCATTAATCTCGACCAGGATTTCTTTAACAACATCTGGATTAGAAATGTGTTCTAGAAGTGATAAACACTTGTCTGAACGATTGCTTTTCGTTTTTACTCCGTCTTCTCCTTCGCAAGTTTTTATAGTTGTTGGCGAGTGATTGATGGGTCACTATACAAATATCTCATTACGCTCGGAAGCTCGGCAGGCCGTAAAATCCGAACTTGTCATGCCTCGCACCCTCAGTCAGTTGTCCGGTCATGTGATCTGTAACGTTTGAGACCAGGACAAATGCCATCTGGTCGCTTCAGATTTTTTGACTGGAACATTGTGATAAGGGGCGATGACTCGAGGAATCTCCATTCACTGTTTTTACTCCCATACGTTTTCTACCCTAGCTACCTCTAAGTATCAAAAACACTGCAGTTGTCGTGACGCCACGATACATCCGTCATCGCCGTGGGCGGGGCCACAAAAAATGATAAGAAAGCGCTCCATTAGCCTGCTAGGGGCTCGCTCTCTTTTTTTGTCTCGGCTACAGGTCGACCCCTGCAGCGCTGACAGCCCACTGACACACAACAAGACACACACAAGACACGGCTCACTGAAGGGAGATTTATCTACCCAAACCAAAGGTTCATGCGACGTCTGAGCATGAGTGTCATTAACGTGACGGTAATGAAGATTCATGACAATAAAGACTCAATGCTGCGAGTTGTTAGTGGACATCGGTATCCTAAACTCACAAGACTTTAGTATCCTAAAGTCAAAAGACCTTAGTCATGGCGCATTGGCCGGGAAGGCAGTCAAAAACTTCCATTTACTTGAAAAAGGTTTGAACTTTGAAAAAAAAATTTCGTGTGTATCTGAAACAGGAAAATTATTTCAGTGGCGTTCATGTACACTGTTCTTCAGTATTCGCAGGTAGCAAGTACACAGATGTCAGTGTCCATACTTTTTATCAGAACTCTATTGTATTAGAAGTAATCGGCCGCGTGAACACCATGATTCTATCATATCTCCACCAAAAATCAACTTGAAACTCCTGCTCTGTGATAAGAAGGCGAAAAAACCAAAAAACCTTCGTTTCGGTAAACAATCTGGGAAGCTACGAAAACTAATATTCTCCGAGGTACCGGGTAAAATTCGGTAACTGAGAGTGCACGCGGTCGAGCCCACTTTTTTCATAAACTTTTCATTTCCCTCTTCTTTTTCCTGCATGGTATGATATAGGACCAATTTTTTTTATTGAAGCTGAACAGTTCTCATAGTTTGTGAAATTTACCGATCCTGAAATTAAACCGATAATGGGTTCTGACGTTTCACGCCAGCGACAGTCCAGCGTAAAAAGAAAGCTCTGATGGGTAACGATTGAACATTCCATTAAGTTAGGAAGCACCTGAGATGGAACGAAAGAAGTTCGCGAGTTGATCACAAGGGCAATATCAGTAGGAAGAGATTGTGTCTACTTTTACGACTTCATTAACCGCCCAAAATGATAAGAAGAACTGATGTAGAGACTTGCACGCCCAAGGTCCAATGCTTGTCAAGAGACAAAAAGCTACGAGAAGCATTTATTGTCAAAGCACTAAATCATCAACAAAAATCCCAAGATTGATTTTTCGTCTTAGCAGAAGTAAACTAGCCTCTAAAATTCTTGAACTCTTCGAGATAAGGGCTCCAATAAAAAGACTTTTGAATTTTGCGAGCCTTACCTGCCGTTCAGCGCTTCTTGTCATCAGGCTAGTATTATGCAGTAGTGAGAGGTTCAACCCTACAGACGCCAATTTTGCATTGTGACAATAGTGGCCAGCAATTGTTTGAAGCTAATCTGATTCATTAGGCCAATATTCGTATTTGGTGATATACTATCTTGCTTACCAGTAGTTTTGGCTCACCCTGCCCAACTGTGACAAGTATTAGCCGCAAAAACGCTTTCTAGTTGCTGGACAGTCCCTCACCCTGAATTGTGGGCGTTTCGCCATGGGCAGATTACTCTATATTGTGCTGGTCTCCCGACGTAAATATTGTATTAGCGAGCAGAGAGGCACAAAAGAATTCCAAAAATTTCCAAAATTCAAAAATTCCAAAAATTCAAAAGTTCCAAAAAGCAAGAAACAGTTTGAAAAAGAATTCCTTTGAAATCTTCCGCGATATTTCGGTGTATAACACCTTCTTCAGGCATGTGTTTGCCACAGCCAATATAAAGCTGCCCTCACGGGAACCGCGCCGTTGGAGTGAAAAGAAAATCTTTTTTTCAGTGATTTGAATTTTGAATTTCAAATTTGAAGCCGCGCCGTTGGAGTGAAGTTGCGCAGCTGGGCAGTTTATATTTGTGTGGCCAAAACACATGCCTGAGAAGGTGTATCGACCGATAATATCGGGAAAGATTTCAGGGATTCTTTTCAATTGTTTATAGCTTTTTGGAAACTTTTGGTATTTTGTATAGGAATTTGTGATTTTGGGAGTTTTCTTGCTTTTGGAATGTTGGATTTTGTTCGAGGAATTTTTGATTTTGGTGAACTTGCGAATTTTTGTGAAATAAAATTTTCGATGCTGCCTCTCTGTGCTTATCAATATTTACTATTACAATATTATTTACACTTCTAACGCTATGATCCTCATCATGCAGGCTCCATAGAAAAGTCACCGGCGGCCGCATCCGATCGTTCGACGAGGTGTTGGTGACGCTTTTGAGTCAGAGACGGAACGTAGCAAACATAGCAATAGTGGCGTTTGCAGCCAAATTCTTCAATACATTAGGTAGTGCAAGCATTTATTGTACTCCAACTTCACGTTCAGGTTATAGAAAAATGAACTTAAGTTTGATTGTGCACCTTTCTTCAAACATTTTATTTTTTAGCGTGAGGACTTCATCCATAAGTTATACTCATCTCATCCCCGATCTATTGATTGTATAGTTGGTAAAATGCAAGCAACGTAGTATCGTAGCGAACGAATTGTCAGAGAGGGTGGATCGTCCTTTTCATGCATCGCAGCGCAGAGCGGGTGGGACGGCGAATACAGCACGCTCTCGCGTCCGCGCCGCCGGTGAGCTTTTCTCCCCCTCCCCCACTGCTCGTGTTGACTCATTCCCCGAATCGGAATGTTTTGATCCATTCCTTCGATTCGGCGCCTAATAAGTGACCACCACGCATTGCTTTGGGCTATTTCAGGGTGTGAAGATTCATCAGACGGTGTTTTCAGGATTTTTCGCTTACTGGGATACATTTTGCCATGCATTGAAACTTGCACAGTACGCTGGTGCTTGCAAATAACGCTTACTCGTGGGAGAAGATCAAGTTTCCGTGGACGATTTCTTCAAGGCAAATTCCGAGATGAAGGCTGGTGGATCAATCCGTCTTCGAGTGGATTAGCTACTCCATGCGGGTAGGAGTGTGCTCTCCTAGTATTTCGAAAGTAGGCAAGAAGGGCACCAATGCCTTTGAGGACTCAGAAAACTTCGCAAAAGCCTATGAGGGGGGGGGGGGGGGAAAGGAAGGGGGAGGAAAAAGGGTGGACCACTACAGTCTTTTTCTCGGTTATTCCGCGCCGGCTAGTGGACGATTTTGTTGCATAAGACGACCTACCAGCGAAGAGGGGCCAGCGGGTTCAGGGTGTTTAATTGGTTTCCTTTCCTTTAGTTCTTCATTACGAAGTTATTACGAGCTTCGCATAATTTAACACGTTGACGACATCGCGCGTTTTGGCATTTTTGGCCGCGTGGGACCAGAGCGGTTCTGCGAGCGCCGCCGCCTCACAACAAATCTGTGGATTTTGAGCTTTAAATACGCAATACTTCGATGCGACAAAATGTTTTCACTGATATTCAGGTGTGTCAAACTTATTGGAAGGTACACATGTGAAAGTGCGGTCGAATGATGTGTTACAGCATTGAAAAGGCAAGTTTCACTTACTTTTGCTTTAGTTTTCAAATTATTGAAAGTGGTTTGTTCCAGGGTAAAAACAAAATATCTTGCACAGAGTAGCTTTGCTATCAATTTATATCTTTTTTTCTTACAAATGATGTTCGTGGTTAATGAAGAGAAATGAGGGATGAACTGAACGGATATTTTCGTCCGGTCAAAAAACCTCTGCCAAACTAAAGAATATTTGGTCATTCTATAAGCCGCGTGGTTCTTGGTTATGTTGTGGTATGGCCTAAAAAATGAACACAAAAAACCTGGGAAGAAATGGCGCGTTCAAGAAAAAACTGAATGTAAAGGGTGTGGCAACTATAGTTGCCACAATGTCCATTGCGGCGTGCAAAACGCGGCAAACCTAGTTGCCGCGCTGTCGTCAAGGTGTTAAAGAAAACGTTGTGAGATTGCCAATAACACCAGCAGGAGGGCATGATTGGTAAGCTCAGCTCAAGGTTGCACCTCTGCATGTTGGTGATCACTCTCAGTTTGAAGTCTCTCCGTTGCTGAACAAAACCACGAACACGAAAACTCTCTTGTGATTGCGGCTAGGCCGTCGTTGACCAGTTTCTACTTTTTCTTTTTACCCGATCCCAGTACTTTATTAGCTATTTCTGCTGGTGTTACCATAAACAGACTGGCTGAATGGCTACTAAAACAATGCGCCAACATTTATTTAAATTCTTTTCTTCGATTTATTATCAGATTGGCATCACAAAACAACCGAGATGCAGTCGGAGAACTCGCATGTGGATGAGCTCACCCTCCAGCTCTATACATCCAGATAGGGTACGCTTCTCTCGTGAGACGTCCAGCTGAAAGGGAAACTGTGGGAAAAGAAAAAAATTGTACTTTTCTGCATGCATTTTACCAAGAATAAGAAGGTTGCATTAATTGCAGCGTTTTTTTTTTTTGTTTGTTTAAAGTCTCTATTTTTATTATATAACGCAAAGCGCTAGAATGGACGGGGATTCTGTTCTGTTTTTTTGTTATATTTGGCTAATTTTTTTTTTCATTTTCTTGATTGTTTCTGATGATTTTGATGTCATTCATGTCATAAGGTCAAGGTACGGTTCTGAAGGTAGGAGCCAGAGCGCTCAAGAACGTTCGTCAAGAATAATTTTTTTTGTATCGAAAATTTGGGTCACTCGTAAAGCTGACGCAGGAAAATAATCGAGAACGCTGGAGAAATGCTGCCTTATCGCGTAGTTGTAAGCCCTAGTCTGGAAGTAACGTACACATGTGAGGTATCAAAATATGCGGGAACATCAGCTGCGAGACATCGATATCATCAAAAACGAAAGAGCTGAGAAATTCAAACTGGATGTGGAGGAGAGGTAGTTATTCGCACTACAAGACGATGGGCTTCCAAGGAAGTAGGTAAAGACATCTATTGTGGCTAATGGCGCCCGCCGCCATGTCGCCAACCCTTGGCGAGCACCGCCTGTTTTGGCAAAGCCCGTCCATGAGTGCAGGACTACATCTGGGTGGATGCTGGTATGTTATAGCCCCTTTTATTTTTTTGAAAAGGCTTTTCATGTTAAGCAGCTGTGATTGAGCTTCCCCAGTAGGCAGTGCGGGTTTGTTGGCATGATGCTGGCTGTCGAGACTGAATTGGGCAAACGAGATGTGAACCTACATCTTTGAAAGCCACACATAAGTCGACCAGATCATGTGCGAAAGGTGCGGCGAGGCAGATTGGAGGCGGATTGCGAACTGAAACATATCATTTTCTTTGTGCACGAAAATCGATAATTGATCCGATCTCACGTGAAATCTGCATAGTATAGTAATGCCCATCCACACCGATCGACAAGTCTAGACCATACGCTACACGGTTGTAGGTGGCATTCACACAGACTGCAATAGGAATGAAGATTTACAGAAAACTACAATTTTAGAATTATAGTAAATGACTCTGCATTGACTAGTACCTTCGAAATGCATTTAAGTTCAACAATTCACCGCATGATGGGCCTTCACAGCAACAGGAGTGAACCAGCTTGTCTTTAGAGGCATGCGCCGGGATTAGGCCGATGTCATAGTTTGCGATCCGAGCGTTGCGCCAGCGAATCGAACGTTGCACCAGCGAATCGAACTTTGTACCAGCGAGTCGAACTAGGTACCAGCGACTCAATAGTGGCGGGACCCAACGTTCAAAGGAAGCCCGCCACTTTCAAACAGTGTCCAAAGTCCCGCCACTTTCAAACAGCGTCCACTGTCACGTGACACTGTTTGAAAGTGGCGGGCTTCCTTTAAACGTTGGGTCCCGCCACTATTGAGTCGCTGGTACCTAGTTCGACTCGCTGGTGCAAAGTTCGATTCGCTGGTGCAACGTTCGATTCGCTGGCGCAACGCTCGGATCCAGCGATTCGCTAGCGAATCGCTCGATTCGCAAACTATGACATCGGCCTTAGGCGCGCTCACTTGTTCCCCACCCGAGCGTAGTAGGCAGGCGGACAAGCGTTGATGTCGCGCCCCTTTTGCCGCTTGAAAGTGCGCGACAAAGGCGCAAGAAGCTCGTCCGACCCGCAACTCACACCTTCGTCCGCAAGCCCCACCCTCCGCTGTCGGTTGCCACGTGGCGCTGCTTGAAAAGCGCGGGCGCATTTGAGGCAGCGGTCACATTGTGTTTGAATGTCATAAGCAGTGGAGCAAGTGGCTGAGTTTGTGAAACTCGTCCAGCACGCCCCTTCCCTTCCCCCTGGAATAAAGGAGGGCCTTATCCAGGGCGCATCAAAGGGTTCCTCTCCTTTCTCTTCCTTTTCCAGGCCACTACTCACCTCTTGCTTTATTAGTGAACGCTCTTCCCACAACTATTTTGCCTTCAAAATAGCTGTTTATAAAACGATCTACCCACAAGCCCAAGGCTCCTGGGCTGAGAAGACCTATTTTATCAAGAGAGGATTGAGTGTGCAAGGAAGTCCAAGGCCGAATGTATTCCAAATGCAAGAGAATTTGTGATTTTTATTGAAGGCATATTTCAATAGGAACGTATGAGCTATGGGCTGTTCCCAGGTATTCAAGGACGGTTGGAAATCTCAGTAATTATATAAAGGGAATAGTGGAATGAAAGGAAAGGCTGTAGCTGACGGTCCCATAGCTCGCAAACTGGGAGAAGAAGAGGCCGTGGTCGGCTCCTTCACTTCATCCAGGCGGCTAGAGTCAAAAAAAATAATGGTCAACAAGAAATCTTACTGTCATGGTGGAAGTCGGACCTTTTAATTCACACAGCAGCGCGTTTGCCATCCTGCAAGAACAGTTCTCGTCATAGTCCAGTCTTCTACTGAAAGCCAATTTTACTTCGAACACAAATGAACATATTCTAGTAACAATAATACTTTTTATTCTTTTCAGAAACCCTATTTATACCGAGAATCGATAGACTAAACCTTGGAGGAAGAGCACTACTACCCCTCCAGTGTGTCAAGGAATTCATGAGCCACGGGAGTGTAGCCATTTTGGGTGTCCCCCAAGAGGCCCGTCGCGCGGCGAAGGAAGAGACGCAGATGCGGCAAAGGACGAGTCGCAGCGCGTGCTGTGCGATATGAGACGTAGTATGGTACACTCTATTTAACCTGACGCCTAACCGCTACAGTATGCGCTGCGACTCGTCCTTTGCCGCGTCTGCGTCTCTTCCTTCGCCGCGCGACGGGCCTCTTGGGGACACCATTTTAGGGGGTGGGGTAGAAGGCGAGTCACTTCAAAATATGGAATATGCGAGTTATTCTCACGGCGTTTCGTCATCGTAGCAGTGAACACCAATCCCCACCTAATACGTTTCGCACCTACCGTATCAAACAAATCGGCGTGCCCGTCCGACTAAAACTGCACCTGAATTTGCTTGCCAACAGACGGTTTTTTGGGTAAAACTCTAAACATATTAAGCATTTCGCAATTTAATGAAATTGGGATCATTTCCCTCATGGGCTATTCCATTTCTATCAGATTTGGCTCTGAATCCTCGTTAAGTCTACCCAGCCTGGCCTTCGTCTGGCTGCCCAGAAAGGTTAGAAATTGTTGTTTCGTCTTGGTTATGAAGTATACTCATGAACGAAATAGCAATTCAATAAAAAGGTACACGTACATTCATCCAATGTTGCATAAGACTGGCTAAGCACTATCCTGAACTGATCAGTCGATATCTTCATATTTCCGTCGTGGTGATCTTTCAATGAAAAAGCTACGGTATCTGAAATGGTGAAACATTTTCAGCTGTTGACATTCCTAACAGCTGTATGCCCCACAAATATTGGTTCACAATTATTCTGAATTCGGTAAGTTTTTAACGGACCTTGATTGAGATCTGGATGGCCAAGCTTTATTAGAGCCAGAGTGTTGCTGATATTCTTCATAATAGCAAATCCGCGAAGCTGGCCCTTCCATTTGTTAGCCAGTCCCAATGCAGAACGATGAAATACTTTTGACTCGGTATCCAACACATCGATTTGGAATGGAAGTTCTGTGCCCACATTTACTGTATCAGGACGAATACTGAATTTGAGGACAGCAGCAGGTGTACCGAATGCAGCAGTTAATAAGGAGCAAAAAATTAATGCTGCTAGCATAGTGAGGACCAGGCAGTAGACGGCTAGATGGCCGATTGACCTGGGGTGAGAACAGCTGTCTTGGCCCATCAAAAATCGATCCCATCACATTGGGAAGAAAGATTACTGGTAAAAAGATGAGCAACACGTGTTCAGTCAAACTTCACACCAGCGCCATCTGGAAGTCCAGAAAAACGTGGCCGTCTGATCTGCACGGGTTTCACTTTGGAAGGTAATGATCGAAGGAGGAAAGGACAGGGTTTGGATCGAACATTGAGAAGTCTAGAACATATAAAGTGCACAAATATAAATAACTTTTTTTCAGCTAAAGGGCTTTGTTAAATCCCATGTCAAGCTTGGTAAGAAAATAAACGGTGAGTCAGATTTTCACTTTGGGCATTTAACATTGGCCTTCTTGAGGTACGCCATGCATTCGACCTCCATTCACAATCGCAGAGATTCTCTAGTGAGTATTCCGCTTTCAGCTTCACAGAACGTGCAATAACCGGTCGCTGTTCACCTGGAAGCACTGCTCGAGTTCGTAAAAGCCATCCAACAACTGACCTACTCTGGAAAAATGGCACGGCTTTTTAAACTGGATGAGTATGGATTCTAAAGCGCCACCTTTACCTACAATGCTATCCCTTCTCTTATTCCAACTTATGGTTTACATTTGAAAAAGGTGGATCAGAGAGCTCAGATCTATAAAAAGAGAGCTGGTAAAACTCTTTGCTTCAGTTGGGACTTGAATTACCGATATCGATGGCCTCTCTGCCGCGATGTGTATGTCTAGCAGCCCAACAATATCGACGAGATATTTGACCGGGTTAAAATTCATATTTTATATGATTTAACCAAGGTCGCTAGTTGATGGCAGCTTTCTGCCAACTACACAATTTCATTGGCTCAAAGGGCATCTCACGTGCTGCAGGGTAAAAGGAAGGGGATCGGCTTTCAGGGTGTTTGCCAAGCTCGTTTCAAATTGGTTCTTTGCATGACAATGAGGTCATATGGTGGGAAACCAAGAACTACGGGTCCAATTTTTGAACGGGCTGCTGAATATCCTAAAACGATTGCGCATGGTTCCTAAGTTGCGATTTTTTCGCGTGAAGAGAAACTTTTGGCTAGTTTGGTTGACGTTTCAAACTTCGGCGCAAAGTGAAGTTATAATGGAAGCAGGTGTGAATTCCACTATGCGATGGATTAGGACCGTCGAGTTAACCCTGTACAGAACAAGCTTTTAGGGTAAGGAACTGGCGAGCGAAGAGAGTGGTGACAACCGAAACGGCGCCACTGGTGTTTGTGCACGGTTGCGTTCAAGAAGCTTATGGAAGTGTCGTGCATTGTCTACGGTCGAGGGTATCAGCAACGGTGGTCGCGTTTCTAAAGCTGTATATCACACCTAACGAAAAATTCTGCGTACCACTCGACATTATCTGAGTGTGATTTTCGTTGACCGGGGCTGGGGCTTCTTAGCTCCACTAATTCGAGTTAGGCTCTTTCACTGCTCAGCGCCTCAGGGCAAAACTCACAATAGAAAGTGCTAGCGAACAGGTCTGCATTATGCTATTCTTATAGAGAACCATAATCAAACTGGAGATTGAAAAGTTTTCGATGGTTATGTGCGAAATATTTTCTTCCCGGGAAACAATTACTTGAAAGATATGGCTGCATCACGGCGAGTAGTGCGTGTATGGAGACACTGCCCTCGCCTATGGCTTAACTTAAATATGAATTATTATTTAAAAAAAATTGCGTCAAAAATTTTTGGGGTAACTGTAGGATTACCGTAGTCACTGTATAAGTATCCACCCACTGCAGCGCAAGCTCCGACCCACTTTTATTTTTTTAGAAGTTTCGTAGAAACAACATACACACAATACAGACATACATACATTACATACATACATAGGCATACATACATACATACATACATACAATGTCTATCTAGATGTGTCGTGTCTGTCTAAATGTGTGTCTGTCTGTCTAAATGTCTGTCTATCTATCTATACGTTAACCTAAATCTCGAGAAATACGCTCTCACTCATAAATCGGTCGGTCTACTTCAGAGTATAAATATATTAATGAGCACTGAGAAACTGTTTCAGGGCACTGTAGTGAATGCAATTGAGGGTTGGCCTTACTATACAACTATCTTACGGCAATACAGGACCTTCCGTAAATGCGAAGAACTTTCTCATAGATGTGTACGATTTTACGGAATTAAGTAGCAATTGCATGGCTTACTCAGCTATGCGAATGCGAGAAGCAGGAACTACAATTGTAATACTGTTGATGATAAATGCTGCACCAACTATAAAAGAGCAGCGTCCGAAGTGATTACATCACTCTTCGACATTTTCTATCAACATCTTTTAACCTTTTCAAGTACCTTTCTTTAATTCCTTAATTCCTTTCTGGAGGTTCTTTTTGAAAGGTATTGAGGAAGTGAAGAGAGGTTTCTCAAAAGATTAAAAGAAGCTCTGCCTTCTCCTCTTTCCTTGTTTTTCCTTCAATTCTTCCTCAGAGCTTTGTCACCCTACAACACGACTGTATCAAGACCTATGATGCTTATCAGAGCTGCTAACTATGACCTATTTAAGAATTACTCACATGTGCTCTCCAGCGCTTGTAATCATTGCTCTGCTGCCCATCTGTAGGGGGAACTTGGTAAGTCCACTTATTTTTTTTACTTTTCAAAACGGCTCAGAAATCAGGATTTAGTTATGAGATATCTTACAATTACTTAAAGTCCAAAGCATGCCAAACCTACATATGGCTTGACACATTATTCAATCCTCAAACTCTGACTAACTTTGAATGGATATACCAAACCGTTTTATACAGCATTGTACGAAATATTAAAGGATAAAAGGATAAAGCATTTGCCGTTGATCAATCCCTTTTTGGGATGCGGCACGCATTCTACTTCCATTTGTACATTCGTAGTGGCGTTTGAATGCGATGTGGCCTATACAATGACTTGCGGGGCCAGCCGATGTACAAGTCAGTGTTTTTATCCTCCCAGACAAGTCTGGTACCAATTAACCGACCCCGGAGGGATGGAAGGCTTGGTTGGCCCGGGCGACTCACGACCCAGGATTTGATCCCCGGACCGCTCGCGTGGTAAGCGTGCCACTTGCCACTACACCACTTCCGCCCAATTTCAATAGTACG